TTTTGCCAAACATTTATTTCTCTTGATTTGTCCTTTTAGTTTGATAGCTGTATCCATCTGAAGTTTCATCTGTTCCCCACACACCAAAATGCCATTCATGGATTTGAGCTAATTTATACTCTAGATCCAATTCCATGTGCCTATGTCAGTTTAATCACTATACTTGGATACTTACATTTTTATAACTGAAAGGGAAAACGAAGTTTCCTCCATAGAATTTTCTGGGGGTTTTTTTGTTTTGGTTTTTGTTTTTGTTTTGTTTTTGGTGTGAGATGGCATTTTTTTTGTTTGTTTTTGTCTAAATTTGTCTAGTTCTTGAATGTAAGAACTTATTGAGGTCAGTTTGTTTTGTTTTAAAGATGTTTGTTGTTTGTAACCTTAATTGTCCTGTAACTCAATTTGTAGACCAGGCTGGCCTCAGACTCACAGATTTGTCTGTCTCCAGTGTGCATGCCACTATGCCCAATTAAAGATGTTTTACATATATGAGTGTTCGCATGCAGTATCCAGAGGACAGAATAGGGCACTGAATCTCCTAATACTTCTGTCACCCATTGTAGTGTGCCATCATGTGGGTGCTGGGAACAGAACCTGGGTCCTCTGCAAGAGCAACAAATACTCTTGACCATCAGACCCTGGTAGGACAGTTTTTTATTTAAGTTTTGTGTGTGTTTGCCTGCATATGTCTGTACCCCTGGCGCCCAAGGAGATCACAAGATGGTGTCATCCCTAAGAGCAGCCAGTGTTTGTAATGGCTGAGCTATCGCTTGTCTGCAGTCAAGTATTTTGTTTGTTTGGCTTTTTGAGGCAGGGTTTCTCTGTGTAGTCCAGCTGTCCTGGAACTTACTCTGTAGACCAGGCTGGCCTCCCAAATGCTAGGAATAAAGACATGCTACCACTGTTTTGTGTGTGTGTTTTAATACATTGAAGTACTATGATTTGACTGATACAGAGCCAAATGAGTACCAGTCTCAATGATTTTGCACATTTGGAAGGGTTTCTCTGTTGGGCTTTGTGGCTGGTGCATAAGAAGAAGCTAATGATTCTGGCTGTGTTGTTGAATAAGTAGGATTAGCTTTTACTTGACAGTGCTGAAAAAAATTTAACTCCTTTTTTAACCCTTTTCTAATTCTTGTCTCACTGGTTCATTTAGAATATCATAATTATGATGAGAGTAAACATACTCAGTCTGAACTAAAGGGTATATCTACTGTTCAATTGTGATGCTGGGTTTTTAGTCAGTCAATAATTTGACGAAATTAATTTATATATCATTTTATACCAAGGAAATCAGTATGTTTAACCAGTTAAAATTTTTTTATTTTTCCCTTTGTGTATATGTATCTTCTCCTCCCCTCTTTAATCACAAAAAGTAATGTACTTGGTGTCATATACTGTATAACACCTAAAATGTTTCCGGCCAAATTCTCAGCATACTATTCTCAGCAGCCCTAATGCTGGAAGTTATCTCATCCTACATAACTGCAACTGTGTACTGACTGACATCTACATATCTCTTACCCTCGGGAACCACCATTTTTATTATTTCTATGCGTTTTTTTAGTTATTGTACCTGCAAGTACTGTCACATACTTTTATGTGAGCTAGCCTTTTTAAAAATGCTAAATAATAATCCCATGTATGTGTGTGTGTTTATATTACCACAATTACCCATACTGATGGATGCATTGACAGTTCTGTATCTTGAGATTATGAGTAGTGCCTTAATGAGTAAAGAACTCCAAGTACCTTTCAAAGCTGGTTTCCTTTCTTTGGTATATGGCCAGAAGAGGGACTGCTGGATCCTACAATAGGTCCATCTTTATTTAACAACCATAGTTTTCCATGGTGGCAGCACCAGTCTCTATTCCCACCAACTATGTGTAAGGGTATACCCTCTTTCCCCACACCTTCAATACTTTCTGATAATTACCATTTTAGCAAGTGAGAAAACATCTCATATTCACTGGGACTCCTGATTTGCATTTTCTTAGTGGTGTCAAAGACCTTTCATGTACCTGTTGGCATGTGATATCTTTGGAGAAGGGTCTGTCCAACTTTTGTTTTAAAATCGGGTCCTTTTTGGGAGGTTCTTGGTTGCTTGCTTGGCTTTCTCAGTTGAGTTTCTTATAATTGATAATAATCCCTTGTCCAGGATTGTGGTTTGCAAATATTTTCCCCCAATCCACAGGTTCCCTTCTTGTTCTGTTTCCTTTACTGTGAAGGTTTTTAGTAAGTAGTCCCACATACTGTTTTGTTGCCTGTGCTTTGACCAATAATCCATTATCAAGACCAAGATCAAGGAGTAGTTTTTCCAACTTTGTGTTTTATAGTTATACAGGTCTTATGTTTAGGTCTTTAATCCATTTTGAGTTCTTTTTTTTTTTTTGGTTTTTCAAGACAGGGTTTCTCTGTGTAGCCCTGGCTGTCCTGGAACTCACTCTGTAGACCAGGCTAGCCTCGAACTCAGAAATCTGCCTGCCTCTGCCTCCCAAAGGCACCACCGCCCGGCCCCATTTTGAGTTCTTAAATATTTAACGTGTATGAATGGTTTACACATCTATGCACCAAGTACATGCAGTGCCCATGGAGGCCACAGGAGGGTGCTGGGTTCCCTGGGACTGGGGTGTCATATGGTTATGAGCTGCCATACCAATACTGGGAATTGAACCCAGGTCCTCTGGAAGAGGAGCTAGCACTTAGCAGCAATTAAGCCATCTCTCCAGGACCTTGAGTTGATATGCAAACACACACATTAGATGAAGGTCCAGTGCCATTCTCCATGTAGATGTTGCTGTAGTTTAGATTTGGAATATCCAAACCCAAAAGTAACATGGGGAGATGGTTGTATGTCATTAGGCATATACCCTTGAAGTGAAGAACAGGAGTATTCCTTCTCCTCCCCTTTTTGGGAGGTGGGAAGGGGGGCTTCCAGCCCTGAAGTAATTTTGTTCCACCAGCCACTTTCATATGATACACATTACTGGCCAAAAGCAGGGTTCCCAACGGATCTTAGTTTTATTGTACTTGATCCTTGTGGCTGTTAATGTATGTTTGAAGTAGAAACTTGTTCCCAGTTTTTTAAGATTATCTGGCAAAGTTACCCACCTGCCTATCCAGTTATAATGAAATCCTCAAAATGACTGTTCCAGGTCAGTAGGTACAATGCAGAAGCCTGGCACCTAGGTTTAGGAGGCTGTTTTTGAAACCTGAGGATCTGCTGAGGTATACCAGTTGACTCTGTATGTAGAGTTGGGCTGGAAACTGGGTCCCTTAAAGTGGACCTCCAGCTAGATAGGTACCCTGGGATAGGCATAGATCATAGAGTTACCTGGGACAAACTAGATACTGGGCTGATAGGGTTAGCCTGGATTAACTAAGGTCAGACTAATGCTAGGATTTACTGGAAACCTAGACCTTGGATCTGCTTAGGTCTGGAGCTGCAGAGGAATGAAAGGTAAAAGACATGTACGACATTGGATAGCCTTGGAACATCTTTCTTGGTACCCATGGCTAGCTAGCCATGTGTTTGAAGCTGTGGGCAGTAGGAGCCAAGTGATGTTGGAGATGGGCCTGAATCATATCGGATCAGCCTGATTCTGGGGTCACAGATCAGCTCTGAAAGATCAGCACTGAACGAGTATTGGCTTTGGGATGCAAAGCAAAGGCCAGTGCTCACTTCCCAGTTTTCTACACAAACTGGGGTTAAGGAAGGTGTGTTGTAATACTGTGTTCCTCTTTACTAAGTGTTTTATGCCGGCTACAAGCAGGTTCTAAGAGCTGTAGTTTCCTTAGCTCTTATGAAGTGTGTCTGCTGTAGATAGTTAACAAAATTGATGTTTCTGTGACAGGAAGGAGATGAGAGCTGGAAAGTGCTGCTGTTGTCATCTTTATGGTGCTTTTCTTTAGCATCCCGTTCTTCCTATCTTAAGTTTACTTAGCTTTTCAGATTTGGTGTTGTTTTTATCTAATGCATGGCCTTCCTCACTGAGACTGAACTGAGTAAGTTCTTCCTACAAGGGCTCTGTTACAGCTGTGCCAGGCACATGAGGGCTTCCCTTTCAGAGGACAAAAGGACCCTAGAATATGGTAAGGACATATTCCTCATTGGTTCGCTAACTTAACTGTCACCACAAGCCACCCTATTAAATGATGTAATTAACAAATGTTCATTTGAGAGTACATCCCTGTTTGATACCTTGCTGAATAATACTAAAGCGTCTGATATTAAAGAGAGGAGAGCCCAGAGCACCACTGCAATCCTCAGCCACCAGTGACCATGCTGCAAAATACGGGCTATAGCAAACGCCAGCTCACCCAGCCTACCTCACGTTTTCCCCATCTTCTAGGACTCTATGGTCTGGCATGTTTACCACAGCTAAAGTCTAGCAATTCAGCAAGTAAATCATAGCTGGGGGGGGGTGGGGGTGGGGGGGAGTGTTTAGAAGTGTAAAATATGACATTCTGAAGACTTAGTTAAAAAAACTTTATTACATTTTGAGTTAAAATATTTGGGTCTGAAGTACATCAATATCTATTTTTTAAACTATTTTAATGTAACTATTAAAACCTTAAAGATTAATCGGGTCTCAAATTCCCACAGGAGACTGCCCTGCTAGCTCCCTTCCCTTCTTAAGAAGTTGGTGTTCGCTTTCCATCCTTCTTTCCTTCCACTTCCGTGTCTGCTGCACGAGTGGCTAAGGCCACTCAGTGGCTGTTCCTATGTGTGTGCTGGAAGCAGTGTGTGCGGACCGGTCTTCAGAGATCTTTGGACACACTATCAGACCAAAGTGGCTGTCCCTGTGTGTGGTGAAAGCAATGAGCAGACCAGTCTTCAGGGACCTTTGGGCACGCTATCAGACCAACCTTGCAAGGTCCAGGGGAGCAACAAATGGACCGTGACCTGGTGTCATGGCCTCCCTTCTCTCTTTAGTACTGAATGCTTTGAGAGCAAGAGGACATTTTCTTCCTGCAACTATTTGAGGACAGCAGCACCATGATGCCAGTTTAGTGTTAGCATTTATTTTAAAAATACACAAAATATAAATTTTTTTACATCAAAATGATAACCTCGCTTACACACTGTTCCACACTTACCTGGTTCAGTTTGCACCTTTATGCAAACATTAGGAGAAGATGGAGTTATCTAATGTTTTGCTATGGTTTGTGTAAACAGTTGAGACTGCTACAGAAAGCAGGCTGCTGTAAAAGGTAAAGTGGCCTCAGAAACCCAACAGTAAAATGTTCAATTTGGTTTAATAAAATTGGCAGAAGTCTTAGCAGAGAGAAACTCTAAGACTAATTATTGGCTTCTAGGCATTTTAAATATTAAAAACCTTAAGGTTCTCTTCATCTTGTAAACATAACTTTAACTATGTTGGCATTCATTTAAAAGAGGAAAATATTAAACCATGATTTTCGTAATCCTGCCCATGTCAGTGTACACTCTCTTTATTATGAGAATGAAACCCAGTAAGCAAAATACATCAGGAATTTCAAATTGTACTGCAATGAAGGCCCGGCTGGTCTCTGCTAGGAGCGGTCTCACTTACGCTGACCCTGCCACTGGCCGAGTGTGAGCCCTCTGTCCTCTGGGTCAGGCGGGGCCACAGGCCACCAGGTGGGCTGATCCTCTTCCTGTGTCGAGGCAAGTCGAGACTGCTTGTGGCTCTGGCATCCTTCCCTGGGCTTGGACTCGTTGAGTTAGTTGTTTGCTACTATTGTCAGGATTGTACTGTCCCCTTAAGATACCACATGCCACCACAGCTTACACAACAGTCCTAGAGATTAAGAAAACCGGGTAAGGGCAGATTTTAGCAGGAAAGATAGCTAGTGCTATTACAACCTGACTTATGATTAGTGGACAGAATACAAACAGTAAATCAAAAACTGCCTAAGTATACTGCTGTGTAGCCACTTGGATTCTAAAGGGCTTTTGAGCCTCCATACCTTAGGGACATTTTAAGATGTACTATATAGTTTGCTGTACAAACAGAAAACAAACACTTTTCAAGTTACCAAGACAAAGGGACGTAGTAAGGCATATCACCTGCATGCCTGTAGACAACAGGGGATGTGTCGGGGGCTTTCTGTGCTCCATTTCTACAACGTATCACAGTTCAGAAGAGCATTCAAAGTGCTTTCACATTAACCAAACAGGACTCCCTTTTTTTTTTTTTTTTGATTTGTGTTTGTTGGAGACAGTGTTTCTCTGTATAGGCCTGCTGTCCTGGAACTCACTCTATAGACCAGGCTGGCCTCAAACTCAGAGATCTGCCTGCCTCTGCTTCCTGAGTGCTAGGATTAAAGGTGTATGCCACCACCACCAGGCAATATTCCTTTTTTAATTAAAACAAAAGGGGGGGTTGTCCTGCCAGTTATACAAGTGGGTGCAAGATGCCCAGGACACAGGATTCTAGTGTAAGCCTGTCTAGCATAAGCCTGTCTTTTACTGAGTGATGATACACACTTCCTCACACCCAACCAAACTCTGCTGCATGAAAAAGCTCACTTTCCTGCCAGTGTACCAATGCTAGTCATTACCAGTTGATAGCATCAGACTGGTGGGCACTAGGGGTAAGCTGTCCTGATTTACTATGCATGCAGCAGGAATAAAGGTACCAGACACAACTCCTTTCCACACATGAGTTCACTTAAAATGACAGGTCAGAGTCAAAGCCTAGATGTTCTGAGTGAGGTCTTGTGCACGATGGATATACCTTTAGAACTTTATCCACCTCCTGTTTGCTTAGCTCTTCTCCACATTCTTGAGTCAGTCGAGACTGGATCAGGTTCCGACGTACTCGGTAATTTTTAGAAAATATTTCAAGCAAAACCTGTCGATGCTTTAATTTAAAAAAAAAAAAAAGCATTAGTATGAGAAAACAAAAGACCCAAAATGATAGATAGCCCTAGCCCTACTTTGCAGTGTCTAATTAAAAGCCTGTGGCTCAGCACTCCTGGTTAAAGATCAGCAAGACTGACCTATTTGTCACTGTTCCAGACTGCAGTGAAGGAACTCAGGACGAGCAGTTTGGACATACAAGAAGTAAGCAAGCAGAAGCAGCCAGTTTAAACTGTGTGAGGAAGTTATCCAAATTGGCTCAAAGTCTAGACACAAGCATAACACTGAATCAGGAAACTGGAAAATGACCAAACTCCTACAGAGAAATTAAATAGCAGAGGCTAGACCTTCCCCAAAACAGAAATGAAGACTGAGACCTGACTGCCGGGGTGGAGACTCACACTACAGTCCCTGCTGGCGAGGGTGAGCAGCAGGAGCTCAAGGCCAGTCATTCGACAGTGAAAAGTTCTTTTCTCAAAGAACAGGAAAAGAAGACATCTAGCAGGTTTACTATCTCAAATTTGTGTAAGAATACAAAAGGTAAAGAAATTTATCAGCTTACAGGACTCTTTAAGAGCCCAACTGTCTAGTAAATAAACAATTCAGAATATATAAAAGTTCTACCAATGTAGACAATAAACTCTGCAGTTTGCAATTAAAGAAGAACATGGCTTAAAGATCTCACAAGAAGAATGTCACTGAATTTCAACTTTGAAATGATTAAGACCATCTTCCTACAGGGGAAATGATTTGCCCTGGAAATTTTAGTTCTACTATTATCAGCAGTACTTGAGGGCAGAAAAACAAACAAACAAACAAACAAACAACCCTCTGTCACATCAGAGGCTAACATAAAGTGAGAGCTTAGATTCTAGACACAGGAAGAGCCAGGCACATGGAGAAGTAGTGACATTCCACAGGTGTCATGCTGGTCTGCTGTGTTCAGGACAGCAGACTAGTGCACAGATCGAGTGAGCCTGTGAGCGGGTGAGATGGTTCAGCAACAAAGGTGCCTGAAGACCTGAGCTGGCTCTCTAGCCTCACATGGTGAAGGAAAGGAAAGCATCAACTGCAGCATGAGCACGTTCTGCTAGCTTGACCTCTGCTAGCATGAGGTCACTCCACTGACCTGCTAACAGTGCCTCTGAGGAGCACGAGTGGGGTCGAGCAGCACTAGAGCCAGCTTCCCCAGTTCTTTAGGTCCTGGTTGATTTTAAATTAACTTACTTTTTTCTCCTTAGTGATCAGAGAAGCTACATAGGAAAGCCTGAAGCTACCTTTCTTGGCCAAAAACAGAGTCCCTTCAAGACTCCTGTTAAGAAGCTAGGCCCACACCCACTCCTGCTCTTAGCCTTCCTGTTCCCCTGGCAGGTAAAAGGGGAACAGGCTTCAGCAGGATTCACTCCTTGTCTCAACCTGACTGGTACTTCTGCTAAAAACAAAACAAAACACTTTAATCTTTGGAATCCAGGCAAGTTCATGATTTAAAGACACCATCTGGACCTCAACTCCCTCCCAGCGATGCACTATACAAATGCTGGAAACAGGATCGCAGGGCAAAATAGCCAAAATTCAGATTTGGGCCACCACACTCCTGGAAACTAGTCATCTTTTCAAAGGTGATTCTGTTCTAATTTGGCAGATATCTAAGTTCAGGTTCAAACCACTGGCACACACTGCCTGTCTTGGCCTATCTTGGAATGATTGGAAAACCTGACACGTCCAACTCCTAATGGACATGCCCATACTCCAGTGCCCAGCTCCTAATGGCCTCAACCTTCCAGGACTCCAGAGAAAGAAAGATGACCAAAAAAAAAAAAAGAAAGAAAGAAAGAAACAAAGAGTAGAAAGAAAGCATCTCACCTGGTCACTCATGTCTCCAGACTCCCAGAGGGCAAATACCTTCTGCTCATCAGGGGAAGCAGCAGTCTGTGGGGGAAACTGGCCCAAGCATGAGCTGGTCATTTCTCTGTCTTGTGAACCCACTGCCCTGCCCACTTCAACCCACCTATTGTGTAGCCCAGTCCTAGGCAAGAGCAGTCGAAGCCTAATTCTTCCTACTCACTCACTCACTCCCTGGCTCTGTGAAAGGAATCTGAAATGCCAGTGCAACAGCGGGTGTTTGGGATGGCATCAGTGAGATGCTGCCTTGAGGCACCTCCCTTTCCCTAGCATTCCTTAGGGCTTCCCGCCAGCTATTTCCCACAAGGACAGCATAAAAAGTATGGCTAAAACAAGATGCTGTCAGACTCCCAAGCCTTTGATGCCACCATAAAAGGGGCAACCAGAAGAGAATAGCAGTCCTAGTACCTGAAAAGGAGGTCAGGGAAGACGCCAGCATTGTAGCCTACAGTCTAGCGGATACTAGTGCTCACTAATACATAAAGCCTGACACAGGACTAGAGCAGCACCGAGGTGCTGCCCTGCCCATTTGAGCTGTTCACTGTCTACAGGTACTTAGCTCAGAGTAGTAAAGCACAAGGTAAACTTGGGTCTTTAAGTCTACTCTCCACGGCCTTGTTTTCTTAGCCATGCTATGAATATGGCCCTTGGGTCAGACTGCTCTACCTAGGGCTGGGGTAGTCTCTAGATGTCAGCACTTCTGAGAGGAAGGAGCATGGCCAAGTAGCTTCTTAAGTGAGCAGGACGGAGCACCACTTTCACAGAAGGTCCCTCATCCTCTGTCCATGTGGATGGCCTAGGCAATCTCACTGCTACCAGACTAGTATCCTTTTCTTGCCCAGTACACAGAAAAGTAGGCCTGCAGAATGCTGGCCCCACTTGGGATAGCCAGGGACCCAATCCCAGCATCTTATAAAAGCAAACCTCAGCAAGGAAATTCCACCAACAGAGGCCATAGAGCCTCTTGTCTTGTTCATTACATACAGAGGCAAGGGCCTTGGCCTAAGCATCATCCTAGGCTAGGCACAGGTGCTTGTGAGCTTGCTGCTGCACATGGCATACTCCCTATTTATAAGCCAGCATAGCCACCTTCCCACCGTCCCTACCTGATTTGCTTCCTGGACTGGCTAGAGCCTAGGCATGAGCCATACAGCTTCCCTCAGACTGTATCCAAACACTCCTTTCTGCCAAAGGCAACAGTCTGGGCCCCCACTGTGGAGCCCACTCCATAGGCAGGAAGAGCTGAAGTAGAGGAGGCTCATCTACCACCCCATGCCTACTGCAGAGGCTAGAGCTTATATGGTCAAACACCCTGAAAGCCATGGCTTCCCTATGTGTGGAAGTACTCAGCTGAGCTTTGTGAAAGCAGACTAGATAGAGCCTCCAGACTGAGGTTCAAATTCTAGCTGTACCACTCATGTCCTAGGGACTAACTAAATACCAACCAGGTAAGGGACTTATGTTTGTGAAGGCCTTGATAGTGCCTAGGACCTTAGATATCTTACTTTCCTGTGGTGGAAAATCAACACACCCACTTCAGATGAGGACAGGAAGCCCTGAGACTAACACAGCCATCTGAAGAGGACAAGGAGCCGAGGCTAACACAGCCATGTGACGAGAACAGGGAGCCGAGGCTAACACAGCCATCTGACGAGGACAACCATGTACCCTATCCACATGCAGCCTCATGGCCACTGTCCCTAAGACAGACAGATGAAGCCAAGACACACAGACTTCTCCCCATGCTTCTTGATTCCTAAGAAGGTGAAGACTGCTCAGCTGCCTTCCTAAAGGACTCTGACTGACCCTGTCCTGGCAGACACAGACTTTACTTACAGGCACCAGTATCTGCTTGCAGCCAGCGGCCAGCACCGTATCCTGTAGCATTCGGTCTGAGACACCACTGAAGAGTGTGTGGCCTGGGGGCAGGCCTGCCAGGTGCAGGTTGAAGAGGCGCTTGAGTTCGCTCAACGTGAGCACAAACTGTCTCTGAAAGGTGGCTTCCACAAAAGCCTTCAGTTCCCGGGCAACTGGGTTGCTAGCACAGCCTGGAATTGGGTGCCCATTTAGGCTGTCCCCACCCACTGCCCACCCAGCAGGCAGCCCATTGGCCAACTTGGTGCTGAAGCAACTGCTGGGCGAAGTGTCCATGGGTTCCTCTTCCTCAGCCTCCAGCTCATCCCCATCAGCTTCCTCCTCACTCAGGGGTTCTTCCTTGATCTGCACACTGGGCAGGACTGTGGCTGCCCGCATCTGGTCCTTCCGTCGCTGCAGCTCACGCTCCAAGAAGGCATGGTTCTGCTGGGCCTTGGTTTTCGCTGTTTGGACCCGCTGTTCCCCAGAGACCAGAGCAACAGGCGCTGTGTAGACAGACAGTATGATTCAGAAGGGCACAGGTCCCAGGCAGACAAAGCATGAAAACAGAGAGAAAGGGGACACCAGAAGACAGCTCCTGAAGCAAGGAACCATGTGCTGCTGTCTTCCACCCTTCCTTGCTCAGGAGGAACTTTGCTACCTAATACTGAGGGGAGAAATCAAACTGGGCACAGGATTACAGATCCTGTTGTAATTCTAGCAGCTCCTAGAACACCACCTGCTGATGCAGCAGGTCTCAGAATCCACTCTGCCCTCAAGGACACAGTATTCTCCTGGGGTGGGAGTGGGGACCACCGAGGCTGTCCTGCTGGACAAGCAATAGGCTAACTTGGTGTTGGGGGTGGAGATAGAAGGAAGGTTGGCACAGAAAGGATGAACTTTGAAAACAACATGGCCCTTTTCTGGGCAGATCCCAAAAAGCCCCTTCTGGGCCAAGGACCAAGCTGGAAGCCTACCCAGCCTTGAAGCCACACACACCTGATTGTCCATCCGGCTTCTTTGGCATGGTTTCTTTTACGAGATTATAGACTTTTTCTAATCTGAAAAAAAGAACAAATCCTTTAAACTCTAACCTATATGTTGTATTGCCTCATCACAGCCCAGGGCGTTGGGTCACCAAAACACTATGCAGATAGGGTTTAGCCAGGCCTTCTCCCATAGAAGCCTTCTGTGCACACAAGCCCCTGGCCAGAGCCCAGGGCCAGTGTAAGGAGAATGAATGCCCATCCTGCTTTTCTTGCTAGACTATGTGCCTTTCTCCTCTCTACCCCCTCAGAACAAAGCAAATGACAAGCAAGGGGTGTGGAGGCATCAGACCTGTGGTGAAAAGACTTGGGGTCATTTAGTAGTGATCATCTTTGTGGAAAGCAGAGCACACACCCCACCCCAAGTGTCCCTCACTGCCCAGATCCAGCCCAAGTGTTCTGCTCTTAGGAGGCAGGGCCAGGGCCACCTACTACACCCCTTCATGCTACCCCACAAGCCCTTACTTGGCCTGGATGCCCGACCACAGCATGTGCTGCCGCTGGACCACATCTGGATGCTTCTTGATAAACTCCAGGTCGTAAGGCAGTAAGAACTCCCAGCCTTTGTTGATCCTCACTACAGCCATGTGCTCCAGAAAGTCCTTCACATCCTCAGCGCAGAGCTGAGGGGGAGGAGGAGTGTGAGGCATCACCAGCCCCAAGCTCCCTCCTATAGCGAGCCCTGAGGTCATGAAGAACACCACTTACTTTGGTCACTGCTGCCACCTCCTTTCTTACCACCCATCGGCTCTGAGTGAACTTCCACATCTGAGGAAGAAAGGCATCATGTTCTAGGAGGCAGCAACAGGCCTGTAAGAGGCCTGAGCAAAGGTGCAGGGGAGGCTCAGAGCCTGGGCAGCAGGCCAAATGGGGCTTCTGCCCCACTCTTCTTAGTATATGCCTTGGGTAGCCTCTATACCTAAGCCACCTTCAGCCTTTACAGATGTGTTCTCTCCTCCAGGATGGCTAGGCTGCCTCATTCCATCCAAAACAAAGTGTTAGTAGACAAGGCCTTGCCCATCTGGTTCATTCCTGCATCCCCAGGGCCTCCTAAGAGCACCGTGAGAATTTAGCACCAGGGTGCTGCCCCACGATGGTGACACTCCACTGTGGCTACTCCTAGTAGCTGGCATGGCTTCCCAGAGGCTCAGGCTCCTACAGCTCTCACTGCCTTATCAGCTGCCATGTCCCTGACCTACCTCACAGGAAGACTCTCAAGGGAAAAGTGGAAGAGCCAAGAGGAAAGGATGACTAGCTGTCGCCTACAGCAACACATCTTATACATGTGCAGGCTCCAACCCAATGGTATGCACCCACTAGGGACGCGGCCAAAGCAAAGGGCACTTGGCATGGGTGAATGAGACTGGGTGGGAGCTGCACCTACGCCTCAGGCAGACAGGATGCTGCCCCTCAACACCAACTTCTCAAAAAGCTAAGAATATCTAGTCAGAAGAGCAAACACAGCTGTCCCTAAACAATCTAAGGGCTGCTTCCTTTCAGGACAAGCCTGTGCAGGGCACAAAGGCCCACATGAACAGCTCCAAGTAGCTACATTTTAACAAATTCAATGTGTAAATGCCAAGGGTTAGGAGGGTAATGCAGATTCCCAAGACTTGAGCTTAAGACCCTGGGAAGGACTTAAGTTCTGGATATAAACAGGGCAGGGTGAGAAAAAGGAAGGATGAGTTAACTCAGAAGTCACAAACTCCAGAAAAGTAACAAGGAGTAAGTACCAGACTATGGTGAAAGGGAACTACTGGTGCCATCCAAAGTAGGTGCTGGCCATGAGTATGAACCCAATGCTACCAGACTGTCAATCATTCATGACAACTGAAAACTCAACTTAAGTCTGCAACCAAGATGAGCTTTGTAATACATCACTCAACCACATGAACCCCACACACAGGTTGAGCCAGCAGGACCTTTATCAGCCCAGAATGCCCAGAGGAGAAAAATGCACCAAGTGGAGCCCCACAGTGAAACCTGCACACAATGGCCTCCCTGCTGATGCTCACTAACTATTCTTGATTCTCTCCCTCCACCATGGACCCTGTGGCCAGAGCCTAGATACTTACAACAAAGTCCCGGCCCCTGCAGAGCACCTCGGCAGGCATACCACTGTGAGGGCTGGAAGAATCCTTGGGATACAGGATGTCACTGGCAAACAAGCAAATGTAGCTAGTCAGTCCTGGTCTGTGGTCCCACCACCACCACATCCTACTTTAGAAGCCCAGGGCTCACAGTCTGAGTCAGTCCAGGTCACATCCTCTCACGGGCAACAGGCCTGAGTCTGCAGGCCCAGGAAGTCATAGGAAAGAACAACCCCTTCCCAACTCACTATATTATACACTGGCCTAACCCCCCAAGGAGGAGTTAGGGGCTCAAAGACACATAAGCTTGGGACCCCAAAGAGCCCAGGACTCTTGAGAAGGCTCTGATCCCACGGGTCAAATGTTTGTGGCTTTAAGAGAAACTAGTGCTGAAGCAAGTTGAAAGGCCTTTCCTGACTGCCTAAATGGATATGTGTTAGCTGTTAGAGGCTGTATGTGTTAGCTGTTAGAGGCTGGACCTGACTCCGCTGGAACATGAAAAAATAAAGACTGTGCCTAGGGCCACCCAGAGGACCTCAGGGTAGAGGCCTAGAGGCACATGAACAGACAGTCCCTACTATGTGACTCCCACGCTTCCTCCAGCCATAGCCCCAGAGCCAGCTTTTATAGTTTCTCTGTTGGAGGTCTTCGCTTCATACCTGCCAGTCCTGGGCAACTCATGCTCTAAGGTTAAACTCCATGAGTATAGACTTGGCAAAGTGTTCTTGGCTGCCACACAGAGAAAGAACCTACTGTCAACTAAACCTAGTCAGGCACATGTTGTGGGCCTCTATGCTTTGAGGATGGAGTACACTGAATGGTGGCATACACAGCACAGAACACATAAGACAGACATATTTGAATCAATGTGAGTTTAGACACATATATCTGGCTGGAAAAATTATGACTCACACACAGTAGCCTCAACACCCAAGAGAAGGCTTACAGAAACCCTTGCAATATGTAGGACACCCAAGCTGATGAGAGAAGCCATACTTCAATAGCTAGGCCTCCCAAAGACAAAAACAGCACAGGCAGAAGCCAGGCTGAGTCACAATGCTCAAAGACAGCTCTGCAGACACCTTGTGAGATATACCCAAGGCCTGGGCCTCTTTAGGTCAGTGTCTTCAGGTGTGTGTGATGCAACAGCCCCTCCTGGCTTCACAGTGTAAATATACATAGTACTCACCCTCACATTTAACAAGCAATGTGTCATAATAAAGTTCTTCCATCAAGAAAACTGGATAATCCAACAGCAGGATGGATATATTTACCAGTAAAGGACACCACCATGTAAGGGGAATACACTTTACCATCAGGTTGGCAATCAAGTGAAGAACTTAATGAAATGAAATGTTTCGAATTTTAGAGCTATTCACATATTATATTGCTTACTTTACACTACATTGTTCAAAGCATGGGGTTAATGTATTTACTATAACACCATTTCATTTTTGTTTTGTTTTGTTTTTTTGAGACAGGGTTTCTCTGTATAGCCCTGGCTGTCCTGGAACTCACTCTGTAGATCAGGCTGGCTTCGAATTCAGAAATCTGCCTGCCTCTGCCTCCCAAGTGCTGGGATTAAAGGCGTGCGCCACCACTGGCCAGCTCACATTTCATTCTAATTAAAGTATGCGTTTACTAGGGTTGGTGTACTGTCTGTGTTCCAGGCATTAGAGTACGAGCTAGGAACTTAAGGGAATAATAGTACAGCCTATCTCTACTCCCTCAGAACTAATGATCTGATGGAAAAAAAACAGAGGAAAAAGGAGGCTACTGAAAGCTAAGCTATAAAGTCATGACCTGAACCCCAATAGGCAACGTAAACAGCAAACCACACTTAGACAGTTCTTAACGCAACAGTGGAAAGGCAGAACAAAGAGAAAGGCTTCAAAGCAACCAGAGGAAAACAAAGATTACCATCAAAGCACAAGAATCAGGACGACAGTGGGCTTTTCAATAACAGAAGTCAGGCTAGGGAGACAGTTAATAGGATAAAGCACTTACTGCCCAAGGACGAGGATCACAGTTTAAAACCTTAGATCCCACATAAAAAGCCAGGCAGGGAGCCAGAAAGATGGCTCAGCAGTTAAGAGCACATACTGTTCTAGCAGAGGACCTGAGTTTGTTCCCAGCACACACACTACGTGGGTGTTGTACAACCACCTGTATAACTCCCAACTCCAGAGGGATCTGAATCCTCTGGCCTCCAAAGGCACCTGTACTCGCCTACAACTGCCCACATACATATAGTCAAAACTCAGTGCAGCCACCTATAATCCCAGCAGCTGGGAGGCAGACCTGAGATCCCCACGGCAAGCTGGCTAACTAAACTAATGACGATGGGGGAAACTCCAGGTTCAGCAAGAGATCCTGCGACAATAAAGGAGAAAGCAATCGAGAAAGACTCTTGACATTGACACTGGGTCTCAATTCTTTTTTTTTTTTTTTTTTTTTTGAGACAGGGTTTCTCTTGTATAGTCCTGGCTGTCCTGGAACTCACTCTGTAGACCAGGCTGGCCTCGAACTCAGAAATCCACCTGTCTCTGCCTCCCAAGTGCTGGGATTAAAGGCGTGCGCCACCACCACCCGTCCCACACATTATATTCTCATACATTTATGTACAGCACACACAGAAAATACATCAATGCATGAAGACAGAATTATCACTAACTTAAAAACTGAGGAAAGCTGTTACTTGTAGATCTGTATTAAACACTGTAGAACTCTTTGGACAGACTGAAATGATTCCCGATGGGAATTCAGATGTACACTGGAATAAAAATACAATACAAAAGGTAGACATGTGAGTAAGCCTAAGAACACTGGCTGGATAAAGTCCTGTGGGCCTGAAAATACAGACGCAATTGAAATATACATGGGGAGGTGAATAGCTAAAATATTCTAAGATTTTGAGATGTCTTGGCAAAGAGTAAAAAACAACTGACATGCAGCTGAGGTGTCACAGATGCATGCCAAAACTGTAGGGAACCAATAGAGTCCAGAGACTAACTCCCAAGTTAGTATGAAAAAATGGAAGAGTCCTGGAAAAGGTAAAATGCAATCAGGCAGAACATCAACAACCTCGTTCAATTCATAGAGTCCCAAGCAGCTTACCTTTTTACCACCCAGTTTCCTTGGACTAACATCGCCACCTTCTGGATGCCACGCAGAACAGCCACAGAGTCCACAGAGGGGCCCAGGAGGCTCATGAGATTAGCGAAAGGCATGACTTTCACTGAGGTGAAAAGACAAAGGATACAACTCACTGGGTAAAGTAAAGAGAGACCTGACCCTTCTCTCTTCCCCACCAAATATTTCTAGAGCACTGTAAGATCCCAGCCTCCACAACTCCTGGCAACGTGAGTAACAGCAATAGCACCAGCAGTAATCAGCAGTGGTGGACTGTATGCCAGGTCTCTCGCCTCTCACAGAACAAATGTCAGGATCTATATGGAGAACTAAGGAGTACAGAAGATTCTGTCACTGTCAGGTCTCGAAAGAGTTGAAAACTACCCCACATTCAACTGGTTGGAAAAAGCAGAACCACAATTTGAACCCAGGTCACTTGTAATGCCTCCGGAACCCAGGGCAAAGCCTGGGAAAGGCCCAGAGTTCAGAGTCCTCTATAAAAGCCTGGAGAGGCAGGGAGCTCCTAGCTGTATCCAGGCCTAAAGACTTCTCAGAAGAGCCCAGAGCTTGGAACTCAGCCCCCAAAAGTTCTGCACCTCCGCCTGAGAGAAAAAGGAGCAAGTCCTAATTGTGTAGAGGCCAGTAAGGCACCAAGACAGCCCTACCTCACATCCCTTGTAAAACTGTACTCAGCCCCATCAGTGTCCAGGAACCCACGCTAATCTTTTAAAGAGAGACCAAAGCTCAAATTGACCTGCCCAGGCTCCTGCAGCAGGGAGCTGGCCAAAAAAGCTCAAATGCTCATCTCAAAGATTAATGCCACCTGGGTGACTTGACACAGTGGTGCATTACTGATCTGCCAAGACAAGAATGGAGCTGCCAAGCTGGGCAGATTCTGGGAGCAGGGGCTTTGGCCCTGGAGACAGAGATCAGGGCTCACCATTCTTCATCAGGACCTTAATCTGATCAGCCAGGGGCAATGTACGAAGCTGAGCCATGGACAGGACATTGCTGGGAGCCACAGGCTTGTCCCTGTTAGAAGCAGAGTTGAGTTAGAGGAGGTCAGTGGGAGAGAGTGGCAGACAGTAGGGGGGTGGCACACAAGAGCCCCTTACTCACTTCTCCTCCTCTGGGCTGGGTGGCATGAGCATCATGAGGTATTCACTATAAGGGGAGGGGAAGGAAGAGTGTCAGAGGCTCTGTGGACTCTACCTCACCCCAAGTATGAACACAGACCACAGCCAGGTTGAGCCTTAGGGTGGTGAAAGCAAACACCCAGCCTCCCCATCCCCAGTAGTCCTAGTGTCTCCTGGACAACAGCCTCACAGAACATGAGGATCACCTATGCCAGGCCACTCTTCTGGGATTCTCTAAGAGGAGTGTCCCTCCTTCACCCTGTCTACATAGAAAATGGGCCACAGTCCCAACAGAGATTTTCCCAGAACCTCTAGCCAGCACCAGCCAGCCCCACCTGGGTGACTTGACGAGCTCCGTGTTCTCTACTCCACTGGATCCCTGACACAGCAAGTACTGGCGCTCATGCTCTGAGCGGCTATCCTGTGAGAAAAAGGCAGGACAGATCACCTCCCACTCCAGCCACTATCCTGCTCCAAGGCTCTCCACAGACTCACATGCAGCATCCTAAGTACAACACCCACAAAGCCTCTGCAATGTGGTCTCATCCCTCCACCCACCCTGGCTTTAGGATCCCAGCCCTAGTACTCTATTTATAGTATAGAAACCTCAGTGAGAACTAAAATCGAGCTAGCATTCACCAAGCACCTGCCTTGTGTCAGGCTCTACGGTATAAGGGATCTTACTATCCCTGTTTCACAGACAAGGAAACTGAGACTAAGAAAGGAAAGGCATTTTCCCAAGGTCACCCAGGAAGAAACTGTACGGTATCTACAAGTCTGACCCTGAACCGAAGGCTCTCATGATGCTAATCTTTTCCTGGAAGGTTTCAGTTGGTCCTTCCCACAAAGATCAGGGAGTTCTAGTCCAGACACCTGGAAGCCAATGTCCAATTGCTTTCTTTACTGAGTGTAGCATCAAATAATAGGTTGCAAAGCCCTGGAAACCAAATATATTCAAAACTCCCCCTGGATAGGTAGGCAGTAACTCTAGTAGAGTATATGACAGATTCTCCAGTGGGACCCCAGATGAAGTGTCTAGCCTGCAGTCATCACCTATGATGCATGAAAAACTCTAACCAAATATCACCCCTACTGCATGTACAGCTTAGGGGGCTAAACCTCTAAATTGGAGCAGGAGCCCCCTGCTTCCCACTCTTTATGACACCTGCTAAATGAGATATGGACAAGATATGGACAAGTTTGTGAGCAAACTGCTCACAAAACCTGGTGCTCTCCATGGTAAAGCAAAGTGGCCATACACAAGGAGAACTAAAGGTGAGACTCTGGGCATCAGGATCTTCCCCCAGACCCTGTGCTGGCTCACCCTCATGCCATAGTAGTGCAGGTGGACCCAGGGCTCCTCTGCATGCTTCTTCTGCAAGAACTCATAGGACTGCACACGGCGCTGGCGAGCCTGCTCTGACTCTGGCCTGGAGAACCGTACCTATGAAGAAGGGAGAGGTCACACCCCCAGGTCTGTGGCCCCCAAAAGATCTTGCCAAACCATAGACACCCCCCCCTCCAATTTTGCTTTTGGAATTCAGTCTGTGGGCTGCCAATGCAAACTGTGAGTAGTATTTTCTTGCTTCTGTCTGCCCTGGCCAAGGCTTTCTAGCTTTGGCCACAGGGGTGCCAAAGCATATCTTTTCAGATGGAGGTATTTACCCACGAGGGTACAGGAGGTTTTAATGGCTATCCGACAAGCTGCTGAGAACAGGACAAACCTCTGAAGCCTGAGCTCTCTGCTATATCACTTCAGGTGAGGAGTCTACCAGGATGTGCAAACTTTAGTCATTTCTATGCCAGCTGTGAAATTACTGCGCAGTATTTTCTCTCAATGCTTATTGTAAACTACATATACATAAATAGGAGGGACCTCATACATCCTGAGTGGAAGGCTAATATTCTAAATCTTCCAAAATCAAACTTTTTGGCATGCTAACCACTCTTCTGTACCCATCAAAAAGGCAGAATCACATGGGTAATTAATATGAAATGTTGTGAGCCTGTGTGACTTCACTGGGGATCCTGGGCTGCACCTTCCTATTTCCAGATAACTCCTGCCACACCCCAGGATTCCAGTTACAACAGAAGTCAGGCTAGACAGGGGTAGGTTACTCCCTCCAGGCAGCAAACTAGAGGGCTCAATAATACTCTACATCTGTTGCTCCCATGGATAGGGAAGTCCTTTCTGCTCAGACCCTGCAGCTCTTCCTGTCTTTTCCATCCATGCTGCTCCCTCCCACCCGGGGCCAGAGCTCACCGTGATCTGCTTAACGTCTTCTTCTGCCTCGTCCTGAGAAGAATCCCCTGCTGCAAAGCAAGCTGTCAGTACAGCCTCTCTGGGACTGCCCATTCTGCCCCAACATAACCCTCCCTCAGGAAGGCCAAGCAAAGGGGCCCTGGTCTCAACTGGGGCAATTTAATCCTCAGGTGATGTCTGGCCATCTGTGGGGACGGACATGTTTTGGTTGTTCCAGATGTGGAGTTAGAGGTTTCTGGCATTTAGTAGGCAGGGCCTGACATGTCAGTAAGAATCCCACCATCTGATCTTTTTCGAGTGCTCACATCACCCGATCCAGACCACAGGCTGTCAGCAGGCTCACCCTCATTGGCCGCCTCCCTCTCTCGGTGCTTGGCATCTGCCTTATCAAGGTAGGAGAAGCTGGGCCGAAGCTGTAGAATACCATGTAAAGGTGTCAGGTGGAGCTCACCTGGCAAAGGAAGAAGGGTTTGAACATGCCTCTACAACCCACAGCCAACATACCCAGCTTGCTCAAAGGAATCATCAAGAAGGCCTACACTCACTCTTTTTTTTTTTTCCCCTACACTCACTCTTAAAGCACTAATCTAACTCCAATTCCAATTTAGCCTCCTCAGGAGTACCAGGCCAGGAGATATTTCCAACTAGGCACAGTAATGACACCCCAGGAGCCTGACTCTGTTCAAGGACACTTGAGACTTCCCTCCCTACACTCCCTGCCCAAGGCAATGTCTCCATCCTCAGCCTACTGCTCCCTTTATCCACAATGCACAATTCACCCACCTTTCCCCCTGGGTCTCTACCACACTGCTGTTGCCAGACCCTACCAGAGTCCATTAGAGACAGCATGGCCTCTAACTATCATGTCTCTGACTGCCAGAATTATAGCTTCCAGAGCTGGAGAGATGGATCAGCGGTTAAGATCACGTATTGCTCTTGAAAAGAACCCTTGTCTGATTCCCAGTACTGATATGGCAGTTCACAAGAACTCTTAACTCCAATTCTAGGGGATGCAATGCCCTCTTCTGGCCTCCTCAGGCACCAAGCATACACAGTGCACATATATACATGCAGACAAAATAGTCATACATATAAATCTCGGATGCAGAGGTAGGTGGGTCTCTGAGTTTGAAGCCACTCTAGTCTACAGAGTGAATTCCAGGACAGGCAGGGTTACACAGAGAAATCCCTATCTCAAAAAAAATGGGAGGTGGGTAGTGGTGCAGCATTGAGCTGTGGTTCAGAACAAGACATAGTAGCTATGGGACAACAGGACTCTTGAGACAGAATCTCCCTACATGGCCTTAGAAGTTCTGGAACTTAACATATAGACCAGACTGGCCTCAAACTCAGAGATCCACCTACCTCTGCTTTAGTGCTGGGGTTAAAGACGAGCACTTGTGATACAACCTTTGAATGTTTCCTCTATCCCCAGAGCCATATCACTTACTGCTTTGCAAAGTCCAAGTGCTGAATGAAGTACTTTGAGCATCCAACAGATGTGCTGAGTGTGCTCTGACACACTAGACACCGCCATCTGAGCACACAGCTTGATACACATTAATATAGTCTCAAACTTGTGGCAACTATGCCACTCTCAATTTTGGCACATCTTCAGCACACCCAAAAGAACCTATCATTCTCCATGGTCGCCCTTCCTCTGCCCTTGGGGATATGGTGGGATGATTAGTTCTGTCAACCTGACAGCACCTGGAGAGGGAGTCTTAGTGAGAGAGTGGCTAGACTGTTAGCCCAGAGGCACGTCTGTGGTGCGTTATGGTGATTAATGAGACAGCACACTCACTGTCGGTGGGACTGTGACAACGGGCGGGGTCCTGGACAGGAGTGGAGAAAGCAGCCTGAGCACTAGCATGCACACAGCCATTCACTGCTCTCATCCTGACTGTGGACATCGAGTCATCACTTCCTGCTTGTCTGACCTCCATGATGAGCTGTAAACTACAACTGTGAACCTTTCTTCCCTCAACTGCTTCTGTCAAGGTGTTTTATCACAGGAATAGGAAAGAAAATTAATGCATGTAGTATGCTATCGTTTTTTGTTGATGCTGTTGTTTGTCTGTTTTGAGACAAGGTCTCTCTACATATCCCTGACTGTTCTGGAACTTACTATGTAGACCAGGATGGTCTAGAACTCAAGAGATCCACCTGCATCTGCCTCCCAAGCACTGGGATTAGGGGTGTGCTGAGATTAAAAGTGTGTACCACCATGCCTAGCTATATGGAGTGTTCTGAGCATGGTTTCTTATCATCCATTTGGACGCATATATATCAGGGATTTACTCTTTCACATGACCAGATAAGGCTGTTATCCTTATAGATGTCCTGTGGATATGGTACTTTTTTTTTTTTTTTTTTTGAGACAGGGTTTCTCTGTGTAGACCAGGCTGGCCTCGAACTCAAAAATCCGCCTGCCTCTGCCTCTCAAGTGCTGGGATTAAAGGCGTGCGCCACCACCGCCCAGCGGTACATTTTCTTTATGCAGGCATCATGTGATGGGTTTTGGGTTGCTTCCATTCTTTGGCTCTCATGAATAAAATGTTCTCTCCTATGAACATCTATGTCCAAGGTTTTATAGAGACATATTTTCATTTGTCCTCAGTACATGCTGCCCATGTATGAATAGGATTGCTTGCTTCTAGGTAGCATGTACTTAAAAGGTCAAAATTCTGCCACCTGTCTCCAATGTTGCCTATGAGTTCCCAGGAGCAAACTAACTTGAAGCTCTGACTCTACAAAGTTAGAAGAAGTGTCCAGCAAAGTTCTCTTCACAGTGCTTTGACCCCCGTATTTTCTCATTTCCACACTGCCTTGATCCTACATGGTTTAGTGTTCTGTAGCAGCCAACGGCATACATAAAGACTAGATGAGGTCCTCTGGCCCAGCCCTCCCTGTGCTCTCCTCAGGTTATAGCCAGCCCTAGGTACCTTGCCTGTAGAGTGCAGCCGCATAACGAGCTGTGTTGCTGGTGGTCTGGGAGGAGCAGAAGGTCTGCTTGTCCATCAGCTTTCTGGGAGCACAAGGAGAACTAGTGTCAAGGGCTAGGATGCTCTAGAGAAGTTGGTCAACCCCATTCCATCCCAACAGAGAGCAGCCACCTGCCTCTGCCTCCCAAGTGCTGGGATTAAAGATGAGCACTTGTGATGATACAACTTTTGAATGTTTCCTCTATACCCAGAGCCATGTCATTCCAATGCATGTATACTAGCTAGTGCCAGGGGGTGAGAAAACCCAGAGCTTTGTGAGATCATGGGATGAATGATGCAGGGGCTCCAGAGGCCAGTCTCCCTTGCAGTATAAAGCACCTGCTAGGTAAGCCAACTTAGAAGGGAAGCCAACAACACTCTTGGTTAAAGGCAAAAGCCTGACATCTGGATCCCAGGTAAAGGGCAGACAGAGTCCAATGCCTCTGAGGCCACTGGAGACTCCTCTTTAACCTTTACCTTCAGTGGAACCCTGGGGAGAGGAACTCACGAGGAATATGTGCTAGTCTCATCAGCACAGGCTCCATCCACGTTCAATGCAATCTGCTCCCCTTTGCTGCGGCAGTAGTTGGGATTCAGGGTGTCGATGGCCATCTCGAGCTCTACCTGAAGGTACAAAGTACCACCCAACTTGGAAAGTGACATAGCACAGGTCCCCAGAAACACTCCCAGCCAGGTCCCTACCCAGAAGCAAGAGTGACCAGTGTTCTTCCCAATGGGCCCCAGGGTTTCAGTCCACACAAAAAGTCACCAATGAAATTTCTAACAAAAATATCATAGTGTTGGGCTGGAGAGATAGCTCAGCGGTTAAGGGCGCTGACTTCTCTTTCAGAGGTTTTGAGTTCAATTCCCAGCAACCACATGGCGACCCACAACCATCTGTAATGCGATCCGATAGATGCCCTCTTCTCGTGTCTCTGAAGAGAGTGACAGTGTACTCACATACATAAAAAACCAACAAATCTTTAAAAAAAATGTCACAGTGTCTTTTAGGGATACAAATTCTTGTTTTTCCCATACTCTTCCACACCCCCAAAATCAGAAAGAAAATTTTAAACTAAGATCTCCAACATCAGCAATGCTGGAACAGGCCTTCCACTCCTACCCCGACTAGAAATTGAGAGTTACAACTCCTACAGATGAGAAAATCTAAAATTTGCCTCAGCTTCTCTTGTGCCCTCAATCCATCCTGTATGGATACCAGATCTTTGTCTATTCAGTCTGCTTCAAACACCCACACCTGATAACCCAGGCTTCCCTCAGCCTGCCTTCCAACCATCCCTGACCTAAGCCTGATTCTGTGGGGGCTGCCTTTCCTTTGTGGAAATGCTTCCTTCCTCTGCTTTCAAGACCTGTACACTGCTGTTCCTCTAATCCATCCACTGCTCCTTCTCTGGGCTTTCAGTCTCCAAAGTATCTGTCTTCTTGCTTCCCTCAACCCCCATTTACTCTTAGTACCCAACGTCCACCTTGGAGGTTAGCCCCACCTTCTGCTGTTTGGGCTTGATCTTGGCTGAGAGATGTGGAATGTCATCATAGGTCATCGAAGCAGGACGCACAGGATACTAGAGAGAAAAAGGTCCCCATCAGTCCACCCTGCCCAAAACAAACTGGAGCAAGGCATCAATGGTTCCAATGAAGAACTAACAACTAGCCGACCCTATTCATAGCATTCCCACACCTACAACACCCAACATAGACCAAAGTACCCAGGACCTCAATCTGCTCTACCAAGGAACCCCAAGCTGCTCTACCCCCATAGCTTACACCTACAGTCTGATTCATAATGGGTCTTCTGAGCCTCCTGCTGTTGGACCACTTTAGGATGTCTTTGTTTTCCAAGGGGCATGGCTGAGCACCCTGGTACTCTGAAGCTCAAAAGCAGGGCTGTGAGAATTGAGAGTAGTAAGGGCCCAAGGACATGCTGCCACTCTGAAGACCACCAGGGTGAGACATGAGACAAGAGGAGGTCAAGAAGGAAAACAGGACTGGCCTAAGACTGCTAGAGGCTGATCTGGACACTGGATACAGGAATTTGTGACCCCCATTCTCTCTCCTTACCAATCTATCTGTACTTTCCATATACATCCTCTAGAGAGGGGTCAGGAAGGGCTCCCTCCCCTGTATGGCTATTATGTAAATGGCTTGCCTTCAAGGCCTCCTCTGAAAGCCTAGTCTTGGCTCTTGAAAAAACAGCACCTTTCCATAGTGGCCTCACAGAAATACTTTTTCTTTCTCCTCTCCCATGGAAACTGCTGATGAACTTCCCCTAACTAGTCCCCCGAATCCTTAGTCCAAGCCATCAGTGCCTAATATCCAACAGCCCCTGCAGTGCACTTGAGGACGTACAGCAGCTCGAGCTGAAGCTCAACTGTGGGATGACTTCAGGGTCATTGGGATGATTTAGCATAGGAAGTAAGTAGTCACTTCAGAAAAACTCCCCAGTAGCAACACCAGTGCTACTCTTTCAGCTTTTAGCTCAAGTAGGGATAAGATTTGGTGAGGGGCACAGCCTAGGGCACAAGTGCTTAGGCAGACCATGTGGGAGAGCCAGCACTGGGTAAGATGTGCCCCCCCATAACAGCTCACAAAGCCATGGGTGTGCTTGTGCTGAGGCCCAGAGTGCTAAATTCACTCATCTCTGGGCTAAGAAGGCTAGTAGTGAGCTAAAGGTCTGGGCTACAGTACTGACTCTGCCACTTGCTCCGTGTTCTCCCCTCCCAAGGCTGCCATGAGTGTGAACAAAGCATATGGAGTGGGCTCCAGCAGAGCCTAGCACAGTGGACATACATGGAGCCACTATCACAGAGGCTCTGCACTCAGCCAAAGACGCAGGGAAGCCTGGGGAATGGACAGCCTCTCCCCCTGCACAAATGCTGCTGCTGCCCCTGCCACTTGTCTAAGGCCCTCTCTGGAGAGCTCAGGATCCTCCATTTCATTTCCTCATGTGCAACACAGACTTGAAGTGCTGCTACCAACCACCTTATATGGAGGATGTAAAATGGTACAGTCTATAAGTCCTCCAGTTACATGCTATGACCCAGCCATTCGACTCATAGACATGCATCCAAGAAGTGAGAACACAGGTTCATACAAAAACACATGTACAGATGTCCAGAGAGCATTAGTCAAGACAGTAGCCAAAGTATAGACAACCCAAATGCCCACCAACTGATGGATGAACAACAGTACCTCATCCACAAGGGATACTCTTGCATGTTTGGCTGTTATATGTGTATCTGGAGGCCAGAGGTCCACCTCAGGTATTCCTCAGGAGCTATCCACTTGGTTTTTTGAAACAGGGTCTCTTATTGGTCTAGAGCTCACTAAGTAGGTTAGGCTGGCTGGCCAGTAAGCTCCGGGTGTCCACATGTCTCTGCTACCCCAGTACTGGGACAACAACTACACACTACCATACCCAGCGTTTGAGGTGTGTCCTGGGGACCAAATTCAGGTCTTTGTATACTTGCGCAGCACACACTTTACTGACTGAGCCACCTCCCCAGCCCCATAGAGATACCCTTTAGCCATAAAAATGAAACACTGATCCAGGCCCCAACATAGATGGGCTCTAGAGAAAAGAGGCTGTACTAAAGCCTGCATTTCAACAGGAGCGATCCCAAACAGGCAAATCCATACAAACACAAACAATGTCGCCCGAGCTCAAGGTAAGAACGGAGTTAGTAATGAGGATTGACTAAATACATGGGATTTCTTTCAGAGGGACAAAAATGTACTAAAACAGAGTGTGGTACTGGCTGTACAGCCCCCAAATAGGTCAAATTCTCTAGCATGGTTTGCTTACTTAAATGTGGGAAAGTATGGTGAACGAACTGTATTCCAGTAAAGCTGATGTGAAAGCACAGTCACCACCGTCACAGTGTTACTATGGAGTTGAGGAAAGCAGCGCTGAAGCAGGAGGTGCTCAACAGATGCCAGCCACAGCGAGGAAGGGCCATGGAGGGCTAAACACTTGGCACAATTAAGGGACAGGTCCAGGACTTGCACATGGCCACAAGTATACTCTGGAAGCATCCTTGATCTCTACCCAGCAGCAGTGGTCTCTGTCAACACTAATTCTTCCCCAGGTGGTGGCCTAAGCGTTTCTATGTGGGTGCATTTGACCCTCACAGAATCTATGAGACAGACAGTGTGACTATCGAAAATTGAGGCACACAGATGAGGTACTTGCTCAGGGGCTGGAAACTGAGTCTTCAGGGAACTCGAACTAGCTGGTCTGGTCCAGTACCCCAGTTGCTCAATCTCCATCCCACATGTTGTCCTGCTTGCCCATCTGAGCAGGTGAACTCTGCCATGCCTCCTGCCCAGCTCCCCAACTCCCTCAACACTGGCTTTCCCCATTTACCTGCATAAAGTCCCATCCTTACCTGAAAGAGATACAGCTTCTCTGCCAGACTTTTGGCCAAGTACACATCGATCTGGGAACAAGGGAAGACAACATTTAAAGCAGGCTCAGACACAAAGATAGAATCAGTGGCTCACAGAGGCAGCTTAGGGAAGAGGAAAAAGCTTGACATACTAAGAACAGAGGAACCCAGCCAGACCTCCAACCCAGGGACATCCAGGATTCCCTCTCCACAACTACCAGAGAACCCAAATAAGAGCTTGCTTGGCCTCTACCCAAGGTTATTCTAACCTAGAAAGAGCACACATGCCTGAGCTCCAAGATTGGAATGCCTCCTAAAGCCAGGGAAAGTGCTTTTTGGGAGATGGGGTGGTGCTCTACCTATGTGAGTTTCTTCTCTATGCTTTCTCCCACCTTGATGCTCTGTATTTGCACGCCACCCTGTTTTAAGAAGGTCTACAAGGCCCTGTAAGACCCGTCTCCTTTTTTCTTTTTCACCTCATACTTCTGGCTCCCAGGCTCTGTACACAGATTGTGTTCACTCCTGCCCATAACCTTTGCACACATGCTTTCCTCTACCTGAAATGTCCTTCGTAGCTGTCTCTGACAGCTCACTCATCCATAGGGACTCAGAGAGAAGCAGCTGGCCAGAGCTGCCTGACTGCAGAGGGAGCTCCCTCTGTGCTGTCTCGAACTCCCTGTGGTTACTTGGTTTCTTAAGCATAGCTATAGCTTAAGTGCATTTAAACCATTCAATCTGGCCGGGCAGTGGTGGTGCACGCCTTTAGTCCCAGCACTTGGGAGGCAGAGGCAGGTGGATTTCTGAGTTTGAGGCCAGTCTGGTCTACAGAGTGAGTTCCAGGACAGCCAGGGCTACACAGAGAAACTCTATCTCGAAAAATAAAAACAAATAACAACAATAACAACAACAAAATTCAATCTAAAAAGTTAGTAAGTTGTATCCAACAAGAAGGAAACACTGCCTGTCTAGGGATGGACTCCTGACCCCTGCCCTTCAGACTCAGTGTGGGTTCCAGATACACTTAAGGAGGCCTGGGCAAACACAGGGCCGGGGCTGGGAGGACTCTGAGGGCTAAGAATGACAACAAATAACTATCTTTCTATGAGGAGTCTGGACCTGCCTGCCCAAAGTTTCTGTTCTGAGGCTCCTTCCTTATGTGTCTAATGCATCGGCCAGAGTACCTAGAGACAGGGACACAGCCTGGCTGCTATTATGTCACTGTCCCTGGTACACACTGAATGGAGTAAAGAACTGCTGAATGACACAATCTGAGAAGCCCAGGCATGGGAGCTACCAATCTCTTTCAGTCACTAGCATCTATTCAGTGTCCAGCTCTGCAGCTGGCTTTGTAGAGAGTGGAACAGATAGCAAGCAAGCTGAAGTCTAGGCACATTAGATGAGGTCTCAAAATCAAATGCTGCTGAGTCACAGCCTGAAGGAACAAGAGTGGTAAGAGTAAGGGTCCCAAGATCACAGGCCCTAGACTGGCCTACGGAAATACAGAAGGGATAGGTCCTATGGCCTGTGGGCCAACGAGCGTTGACAGCAGCAGTTACCTCCTGTATGACTGGGTCATCTTCTTCATTGGCCATACTAGGGAGAGTCTGCCACACAGTCCTCAACTCGATCTGCAAAGCAAGCAAGAGACCTGGGCAGTCAGTAGGGAGCTCAATCAGCCTTTCTGATGCATCTTTCTTTACAGGTGCTGTGCAGGGAAGGGAAAGGAAGCCCAAAACCAAAACATGATCTCCTTTCTGTGTCTGTGCTGAAGGCAACAGTGTGGAAGAAGAACAGGCCCACAAAGGGTGCAAGCAGGGAGACCCAAGCCAATACAGATCGACTGTACCTCTAGGGAAAAAAATTAATGACCAGTTTTACAGGTTTCTTGCCCACTCAAAAAGAACTCCCAGCCAGGCCTGAAGAAGCTGCCAGTCCACAGCTATAATTGAAACACTGGAGTGTTGGGGGTCCTGTGCTAATATGAAAGCCAGCTGTCACATGGCTCACATTCTCTTCAGATAGCTAGCTGTCAGGCTCTAACCCCAGTGAGCTGATTTTCTGTACTTTGTGGTCAAAATGACTCTCTTTGAATATTTTCTCTTGGGCTTATGAGGCAATAAGGCCAAGTGGTGTGACTGTCTCCATCTTACAAAAAAGAGATTGAATTCAGGGACAGGTTACAGGAGCTCACTGAAAGTCACATCACATCAAGACTTCAAATCCAGGCCTTGGATTTGAGTGACAGTTATAAATGGGGAAGTTCAGTGAGGAGTGGGACCCTCCAGTTAAGGAGGGACATGCGGGTGGGCTTAAAGGATGGAAGGAAAAGAGACCCACACAGAGAAAGGGGAGTTCGAGCCAAGGAGATGGAAAGGGATGCCTGCAGGTGTCCAGCTCTCCTGCACCCTAGGGCAGAGATGCTACTGGCTAAGAAAAGAACTGAGCATCCAAAGACTTCAGCTGTTCCCACCCTCTGCTCCTGGGTAAGATCACCCCAATTTAATCCACCTCATATCTGAATGATTTAGGACTTAAAAGGATACTAGGTGTACCAGTGATTGATTGTGATCCCAGCACTTGAGAGGGAGAGACAGGAGAATCAATAGTTCAAGGTCAGCCTTAGCTACATGGGGAAACTGGTAACAAGTCTGGGCTATAAGATTCCTTGTCTCCCCCCCCCAAAAAAAAACAACAAAAAAAAACACCAAAACAAACAAACAAACAAAACACCAAAAAAAAACCCAACAAAAACAAACCCAAAAACCTAGCTAGGCATGGCAGTACTCCTAATCCCAGCACCTGGGAGGCAGAAGCAGGGGGATCTCCATGAGTTCAAGGCCAGCCTGCTCTACAGGCTGGGACCCACAGTGAAATTATTTCAAAAACAAGCAAACAAACAAACAAATCACAAAGACCTAAACATAAGCAATTCCATAAGTACAGGGTTCAATACCAGCTAAGGCCTCGCGTAAACTCATTAGCTGCAGACACAGCCCACACTTGAACTGCTCAGGCAGAAACACCTGCCCCATCCTTGGTTATCTCCCTTCCTCTCACTTCACACCAGCTCATCCTGTCAGGTCTGCCTTCAAAAGAGGCCAGAAGCTGGCCACCTGGGCCACAGATCAACCTAGCCAGTTCAGCCTCCTGGCTCATTTCCTGGAGCTATAAGCTATTTCCTGCTCCACAATCACTGTTCAACCCTCAGGTAGCAGCACTCTGAGTGATGCCTCCCAGGATTCCCCATCTTCTTCAGAGAGAACTTTGACCCTTCCAGTGAACCTCAACAGACCCCAACCCTTTGCCTTTGGCCCCACCCACCACCACCTCTGATCTTCCTGTCTCTCCCCAGTCCATCCAAGAGCCACACTAACTGTTCTACTCTACCTTCAGGTTCCTTCCTGTGCCATTTTCAGGAGTTTGTTCAAATGTCATCTCATTTCTAAAGTGGATCTGTCCCTACTTCTCAAAACTGAAAACTGCCCCCAACTGCTTTCCTTTCTCTGGCCTCCTTAGCACATTATCACCATGGGATAATTTCCGCTGTATCTGTCCTTCCTACCATTAAGCTGTAAGCTACAAACAAGACCGTCTACTTTTGCCTTGCTGTACCCCTGGTCCCAGAACTCAGCAGATACAGCACAGCTCTACCTGGAACTTGAAAATGTGAACTGAAAGGCTGCCATGAGTTCCAGAGGGATTCGGAGTAAGGGAAGGTCTGCAATGGGGAGACAGCAGATCAGGTCATGACGGGAAGGTCTCAACTGTCTGAGCAGTCCTACGTGGTTGCCACTATGCATCTGCACTAGCTACCAAATGTCATAGATATGTGACACATAGGTACCAGCTCTGCAGGCAGCTGCACTTGGTGGCCAACTGAGACAGGATTTCAAGGGGAATCAAGGAAACACAGCACATGCAAAAAGAGGCTATGGGTTATGAGAGTCTTAAGTCTCAACTATTCTTTCAGGGTTGAAATTCTGTCCAGCCCTGCCATCAGGCAGAATGAGATGCCCTCTCAGCTGGATGACAGAGGCCCCTCCCTCTGAACACTGCACCTGATTGGGTTACCTGCAAAGGTTGTCCCTCTCTTTAGCCTCCCAGATAACAGTATCCAATTTAGTGGCTTTTAAAGGTTTGCCTTATGACCAACAATAGTATTTTTCCATCAGTGATGCAAAGATACACGGAAATGCCACAGCTAACGTAGTACTTTGTGTAGCATGATTTTTACATGCCACACAGTGATGTTTTCCATCCTTGCCCTTGCAAAATAAAAATGCTGGTAGCAAGACCCGCCCCCAACCCAATTTTACAACACTCACTAATAAATCTTGACCTGCAATCTTTATAGCCAACAACCCAAGCTTCCAGAGCAAGCTATAGTGACCAGTGCCTATAATACCAGCACTTGGGAGGATGAGGGAGAAAGACAACAAGTTTGAGGCCATCCTGGGCTATTATATAGCAAAGCCTCATCTGGAAAAAAAAAAGTTACAGACTCAAAACAAACAAAAGGCTTCCTGAGCTCCTCTCCTCTTATCTCCAATTCTCAAGAGGCTGTCAGTCTTTGTGACTGGCAGTGGCACTGCTACTATAGCATTGCTATCTTGCTCCCAACCCTTCAACTGTCCCATTAAAAAAAAAAAAAATCCTTTCATGGGCCCCTCAGCCCTTACATGATCTTGTCTCTTTCCCCACATAAGCATCTCCCCATGGCGTAATAGTGATCAATTACTGAGCTTCTGACAGGCCAAGCCCCAAGCATCCTTGAGGACCTCTGCACAGCAATCCCAGGTCATTTTCAGGATGCTCATTTTCCTTATACGTAACCACGGTCACTCTCTCCAGGATTAGACAGGTTCCCTAACAACCCAACCTGAACATCCTTATTTCCTGAATGGTCCGAACCTAGAACTTCCTGATCTGCTTGCTGGTCAGGTGTTAGCTGTCCTCTACACTAGACTTTAAACTCCACGAAGGCTTCTCTATGCCTCAGATTCCTGGGCCATTAAGCGGAGATAATAATTATACCCTTGTTGTTGTTATGGGATCATTACTTTTAAACTTAAAAACAAAACGAAACAAAAAAAAAAATCACAGTTCTTTCTCCCAAACGCTAATGATGCCGGGCACCAATATAGTACCAAATAATATTTAATCTTCTCATTAGCTGTGCAAATCAAAATTTTATAGTCCCCAACTTAAAACTGATTTACCCAAGGTCCTGCCCCCCTTCCCCCAGGAAAACGGGTATTCAAGAAATCCAAATCTAGCTGATGTCAAAGAGCCTTGATTTTATTCTTAACCAATATGCTGCACATACCTTTGGTAAAAGGTAGTATGGTATAGTGGTTAAGAGGTTGGACTCCCGTGCAAAACCTTACAGGTTCAAATCCCACTTCTACTATATAGCAGCTGATTAATGACGTGAATTGCGTAACACTATCCTTTCCTATTTTCATCCTTAAACCGGCTTCAAAGGAATAAGTAGAACCCATAAGTAGGGCTGTTGCTACGTGGCAACATGTTTTCTTCCAATGTAAGACCGAACAAGACAGCCACAAATGAAAGAAGCAGGAGTGTCACCCATTTTACACTCATTAAAACACTGTAGCACGGGAATCATATTATCCCCCATTTCACAGAGAAAGGTAAGATCTTATCTTTTCGCTCCCAAACCCAGTAACTCGAAAAGCAGAATTGCAGGATGACCTGGCATGTGCACCACTATCTCTCGTTACTGGAGGATCCCCAGGTCCGCGCAGCAGTCGCCACTCTGCTTAAACACAGATCAATGAATGAGGCGTCCCGGGCTCGCTAGGGCCAGGCAGAGTTGACCCGGTTCAGGCAGGGTAACGATCCCAGCCCATGCAGGCGGCCCCGGCGTCCAATGGCTTTCTCCAAGTCGCCGGTGCTCAGGCGCCCTTCCCACTCCTTCGAAAGCCGCCACGCCACCGGGCACCAGTGCCCTCGCAGGTGCGGTTCGGGAGCCAGGCCCGGGCGGGGCAGCGCGGCCGAGGCCTGAGTCAGCGCGGACCCCACCGCCGTCGCCTCCCTACCGTCCAGCCGTGCGGGGCGACCCAGGCCCGGGGCGACCCAGAAAGCGGGGCGGCCACCTTGCGCCCTGCCCCGGTCCCGGGAGGCCGCGGCCCCTCAGCACGCAGCGGCGCGGGCCTCTCTGGCCTAGTCAGCAGCGCGGCCCGGAGCCCCGAGCGAGAGCGACGGCTGCGGTCCGAATCCCGAGGTTGCCGAGTCGGAGCTCACCTCTCCGCCGGGGCCGGGCGCGGACGGCGGAACGGCCCAGGGACCCGCGGGTTGCAGAGACGGCAGCGGCCGGGTCTTCTATCAGGCAGCGGCCATGTTGCTGCTGGAGAAACTCCGGCGGACACGTGGGGGGAGCGGGGCCGGCCCTCGCGCTTCCTCTTACCCACAATGCCCCGCCCCGGCGCATGAGGGACCGCCCCTTCGGAGAGCTACTCGTGGTGCAGAGAGCACACACCGACGGCAGGGGTCGCCGCCGATGCGGCCGCAAAGAAACGCAGAACGAAGGAGGCAGAGACAAAACGAAAAGAACCTGCCTTGGCAGCGGTGGGATTCGAACCCACGCCCCCGAAGAGACTGGAGCCTTAATCCAGCGCCTTAGACCGCTCGGCCACGCTACCCAGCTGTTGAAGCGGTTTTCTAAGAAGCTACTTATTGGATTGACACATATATTTTCTTTAGCATCCTGGAGTTGTATTTATTTCTTTTATCTCCTGCTGATAGAAATTGTCATAAACAATATTATTATAATGCCACTTATTGAAATAAAATTATTTAGATGAAAACTTGTTCCAAATAAGTTTTAAAGCAAAAAATAGTTCAATTTTCGTTCTGAGTCAGATGGTTAAGGAGTCAGATTAAGCCACTCCGTCACTCACATAAGCCGAATTAGACGTCTGGTTCTGGCAGTAACTTTCACCGAGCTCTGAGAGCTGAACTGTGACCCTAGGTCTGCACAGTTCTGTCTGAAAAATTACGTGTTTAAAATTTTAGTACACAAACAATATTAAAACTTTTCAGACAAAATATCTTCTTTGTACTCTTCAAAATAATATTCTTGGACCTTTGACTTGTTCTAGTTTCCCAGTAACCAGCATTATTGGCTGATTGTACATCTCTTTGATCTTTTGCTGTCGCTTCCTGTGGATGTTTAGCTCCATGGAAAATAGTGTTGTTCATATTGTGAATGGGTTGGTAAATAAACATTAACACAGTAACATAGAGATATACAGCTGGCTGGTTTTTCACCATACTTTTGATTTATTTTTTGCTTTTGTTTTTTAGCCAGACTTTATTTTTAAATATCTATGCATGTTAATGTACCCACACAGATTTTTACGTTTATTTTATCTATTTGCTTGGGAGTGGGGGAGGGGCCGGGGGCGGGCAGGACCTGCTGTGGAGGTCAGAGGACAACTTGCCTGAGTATGTTCTTTCTTTCCGCCACGTGGGGGCAGCTTAGGTTGTCAGGCTTCGAGGCAAGTGTGTTTACCTCCTGAGCTATCCCACCAACCCTAGATATTTTAAAAGACTGAAGAAGACACAGTGAAAAAAATAGTCACCTATATTTCCACCACCTAGAATTAAGCTCATTTCTGCGTATACATTTGAACACCCATACACACGCTTTTGTTGTTTGAGTTAGGGTTCACAATGCCCAGGCTGGCTTTGAACTTTGTGTATTGATGAGTTTGAACTTCTGATCCCCCTGCCTGCACTTCCCAAGCACTGGAATTACAGGCTTGCGCCTGGCCAATTGCTGTTAGTATGGCATTTTGCTTCCAGTTATTTTCTTGTGTATATAATTTGTATTAAAAGTTACAAAAGTGAGGCCTGTGAAATGGCTAAGCATGTAGGAGAGCCTGAGTTCAATCCCTGATAGAAAAAGAGAATCACCCACAAGTTGTTCTGTCACATATACTCACATGATAATTAATTAATTAGTTAATTAATTAATTAAGATACACAGGTAATGAATGCAATGTACCTTTTAAAAACTGTATCTTAAAATATGGGCTGAGAGTTGGTAGCACACTCCTTTAGTACCAGCATTTGGGAGGCAGAGGCAGAAGCAAGTGGATCTCTAAGTTGAAGGCCATCCTGGTATAGAGAGTGAGTCCCAAGACAGCCAGGGCTAAACAGAGAAACCCTGCCACGAAAAAACTGTGTGTGTGTGTGTGTGTGTGTGTGTGTGTGTGTGTCTGTGTGTGTGTCTGTGTGTGTGTGTGAGAGAATGCTGGACATAATGGTGCACATCTGTGGTCCCAGCCATCAGGAGGCAAATGCAGAAGTTTTCAGCAGATTTGAGGCCAGCCTGGTCTGGTCTACTGGTCTACATGGTGACAGACTATGTTCCAGGCTAGACTGGTCTACATGGTAGGTGTGTGTTTCAGGCCAGCCTGGAATACATAGGATGGTCTGTCTCAAAACAAAAATGAACAAAACTTTTAAAACATCCTAGACTATGAGAGTAAAGTCCACTACATTTAAAAAGTCCTCTCATGAGCACTGTTCCAGTTTACAACTAATAGGAATTTGATATGTATCCTTGTATCCTTCTAATAACTTCTTAAACTTTTACATGCATAAATCCATGAGCAATGTAAAATGTGCTTTTTATGTGTTATCATAGGATACCAACACCTTGCTAAAGCTTTTCTCCCATATTGTGTTTTTGCGATCTATTATTTCATGCTATAAGTAAACAATATTTATTTCTAAATTTCCTGAACACTATGGTGGGAAAGATCTGTTTGTGGCTTCTCATCTGTACATTCATTTTCCTCCGTGTGTTCTACCAGAAATGAAATTGCCAAACCATATGTCCATTTCCTTTTCTTGACCGGAGGTAGAGGAAGAGGTTGAGATAGGGTCCCCCTATATAACTCTGGCTATCTTGGAACTCCATGTTGGCCTGGAACTCAGTGAGATCCCACTGTCTCTGCCTCCCAAGTGCTAGCATTAAAGGCATGTGTCACCAAAACCTTCAGGTTATTAATTCTTACTGAGTCAATTTTGGTATTCTGGAGTTTGGGACAAAGCAAAGCCGTTCTCTTGGCTTCTCACGTTTATTACTAGGAAAATCTGAACTCTTCCTCACCTGCACTGTGCCTCTCATTGTTGTCTGGCATGTGTCTCTCTCTTTGTTTGCACCTCTTCCCTTCCCAAGAGCAACTCAGCTCAGCACTAACCAAGCCAGTACTTAGCCCTACTCACCGGGGTACTCCTGCAGCAATTCCACTCAGCTCTCTAGACATGCAAGTCACACAACTGTCATTTGGGGTTGGTACAATCCTGAAATTTGAGCATTTCATAGATTTCTTCCCCTAAATCCTCTTTAGTCTGCTGAAGTTGGATTTGTTTGAAACCCTCTGGGTCACTTCTGCTCCAGCAGTCTGGTGTACTCTGGCACAAGCTTAGTCCATCAAGGGTCCTGGAGACCTCCTGTTCTCCCATCTTCTCTTCCTCCACGTTCCTTCTCCTCCTGGTCATACCTAGGACTTCCAGCCCTGTGACTCAAACTCCCCCTCTTTCTATACCCCACAGTAATTGGCTGACTGTTGCCAGTTTTAAGTAGTCAATAGTTTAAAATTGGTGAACAAGGTTTATATATCATCACTCAGTGTACATGAGGGTCTGCTCATCAGGGGTGGTAACCAGATCTTGGAGGTCAGTATTTAAGCATTTGAATACATAGCAGTACCAGACCAACCCACTGCACTCGCCAGACCACATGGCCATGTGCAATTAAGACAGAATTGGATTCGAATTGCCAGGATTAGAGGCTGCAGTTGCAAGACCTTCCCCACCTGTTGTTTTTCCCTCTGAGGGAACAGCCTTCAGTCAGTAGGTGCTCAGAAGCAGGCACAGCTGATCTGAGGTTGGTGGCGCTGCTTTGATGGAAGACTGAGTTCTCTAACACCAATCTTGAAATTCTGTCATGGACAAGCCCACAGGTTGGTCCCCTAGGTGATTCCAGGTCATGTCAAGTTGACAATCTGTATCAACCATCACAGGTTGATAGAACAAGGTTTTGTGATTTGCAAATGTTCTGTACCTTGGTCTGTGTTGATATTCATGTATGCAAACATGCATCAAGCTGTATGTTGTGCAGACTCCTCTGTGAAGGTGTATGTAATACATTGTACTACATGTCTCCCCAAATGTCTGTACTAAGTCTGAATCTTTGAATTGTTCTCTTGGGAGATCCTTACTTGCAGCAAAACTGTAATAAAAATTTGGCATATGTGATACGACAATCTGCAAAGTTTAACATTTCTCTCTAATCTTTAAGGCCCTTCCCCTTCTGAGTTCTGATTTTTTCTCTTCCTACTGTCCACTCCATTTTCTAGTTCACAGACTGAATAACCTCTTTTTTGTTTTGGAACTCTCTGCTTAGATCAAGTTGTCCTTGAACTCACAGAGATCTCTCTCCCTCTGCCTCTGAGTTCTGGGATTAAAGGCACTAATCCTCCCTGCTGGTTCTACATGATGCTGGGGATCAAGCCAAGGGTTTCATGTATGCTAGGCAAACAACCAACTGAACTAAGTCTCCTCCAGCCCTTCATTTTTAAATCCCCCCCCACCCTGCCCCAAGACAGTGAGACAGGATCTCATTGTAGTCCTGGCTGTCCTGGAATATTCACTCTGTAGACCAGGATGGGCTTGAACTCTGAGACCTACCTAGCCTCTGCCTCTGCCTCCTGAATACTGAGATTAAAGGTGTGTGCCACTACACCTGGCTTTTAATTTTTAAGTCACAATGCTAGGAATCAAACCTAGGGTCTTGTGTATGCTAAGCAAGTACCCAACCACTGAGCTGTATCCCCAGCTCACATACACTATTTTAAAATAAGTTTGTATGTGAAAAAGTTTCATAGTGTGGATTTTTCTACTGTAGTACTACTATGTTGGCACTTTAAAGATTTTTTGAGCCTGAGGCAATCGTGGCACACGCCTTTAACCCCAGCACTTGGGAGGCAGAGGCAGGCAGATTTCTGAGTTCGAGGCCAGCCTGGTCTACAGAGTGAGTTCCAGGACAGCCAGGGCTATACAGAGAAACCCTGTCTCGAAATGAAAAAAAAAAAAAAAAAAGATTTGACCCTGGTCTTATGTCTCCAAAAACAACAAATTCCTGATTTTGGCGTATCATGGGTCCAGATTAGAGATGTTCAGCCCAAATGTGGGAAGAAAAACAAGTGGATCTGACCCCTCAAATACCTTCTAAGGTATTTGAAGTCTGAACAGTCTTCTGTTGCATGTTTAGAAATATTCTGAAGAATGTTGAGTATGTCAAGATAGGAGGAAAAAAAAAACAAACCTTCTAGAAAGCCTTACTATAGTATAGTATAGTATAGTATAGTATAGTATAGTATAGTATATA